ATATATATATATATATATATATATAAATATATATAGAAAAGAAAGGATTAAAGAAAGCCTCAGATGAGGATTTTATTCACTGCGAATGCATGTTTTTGATGTGTGTTTTCAGATTTCCTTTTTGCCTCGTTTTATGCGGACAATACGGGCATCGTTCTTTCGGTGGCAAACCACATTCGGTGCGTATATGGTATAACAGACTCTTCCGCCAAATGTAAGATCGCCCACATTCGCATCGATGAGACCCTGAAACATCATCAAACATTGACATCAAACATTAACGGTCTATATGATCCGACAATCCATCGTAGTTTGTAAGAATTTGGCAGGAACATTGAACGAAATATAAGGAATTCTTGATAAACTCTATTACGGAACCATCTATATCACTTTTATTTCAACTGACTAGATTTACAATAATTATTATTTATAACAATTACGATGCTTCTTAAATAATTTCACTTTTTCTGTATTAATTGTCCATCAGAAATAATAACTCATAAAAATTTTGGTAAATAATTTTCATTATTTGTTTTCCTCATGTATATATATATATATATAGGTGCGATTAATAACTAGTGCATTGATCTAATTGGTCTTTAGTAATCGAAAATCAATTGCCTTAACTGATAAATAAAACGATCGACAAAGAGGACGAAAACAAATTTTGTAAAAATTATTATGCAAAGTTTTCTGGATGCATTCTCTGGATGTGTTTATGCAGGCTGCTCTTGTATTTGGTGCGATGCGGACAAAAAGGACAGCACTCCTTCGGATCCTTGCCGCATTCGATTTTTAGATGACTCCTCATATTCCTCAGCCAGCGATAATATTTGCCACACCTCGGACACTCGAAGAAACCCGGTTTTTTGTCGAGGTAACTGGGAAATTTTACCTGAGAAATCTTCGGGTTTGCACAATTAGAATTGTGCGGAATTTTGTGTTGACTAATCATCTGATCCTGATGATACTGATGGATACTTTGCCAAGCTATCATTCCTGAAAGAAGATAAAATGCGGCAGTTAGTAAGTGATCACGGAAATTTCGAAACAAATAAATTTTAATAGCAGGCATGAGTCCAACTCTCGAATATTTTTGGTCACAAAAATGAGAACGCAGAACACTGCAGCACAAAATGCAATCCTTATCTACTTTTTTTTAAACTTAACCAGATATTAAATATAACTAGATTACTTTTTCATTTACGTTGGTCATCAACTTATGTCTATAGAACTCACCTCCAAATAACAACTACATAAAACAAAGGATAAAACAAAGGATAAGTATCGTCGAATCTTTGTATCGAATATTAATTTTAATTAACGCTTATGAAGCTTTCTGTTTCATAAGCCAATTGTTGACAAACTAAAAGCTGCTAGTAATTTTTAATAAGCGCTGAAAATATATTTTTATAAATAAACACCTTTCACTTCACATTACACAGTGATTGGATGTAGGATTATTCATATAAGTACATGGAAAAAATGTTCCAATTCATTTATTATGTAAATTTTGGCAAGTACTTACAAAGAATAGTAAAATTACATAGTAATATTGAGAAAAAAAGCAAAATAAAAATCGGAATAGATTTCGCATCGATGTTAAATCTTTAATTGATTCATAATTTAAACAGAGGGAAAATATAGCTTTAATATGATATAAAGAAAATTATCTTTCTGTATTTCAAATTGCATTAATGAAGTTGATCTAATCGATTCACTTACAATAGAAAATTTACACCGCATATAATTATATATATATATATATATATATAATAATTCAGTTGTAATAAATTAATTATATAATTAAATTACATTATAATAAATTAATTATATTAATTAATTTATTAAATTAATTAATAAATTAATAAGTAAATTTATTAAATTAATTAATTAATTTATTATATAATTTAATTATAATAAATTTAAAAAATATTAATAGAGTTAATATTAATAAATTTAAAAGGAATGCATAATTGTAGAGGAATGTCAGCAAAATATTAGGAAACAATTTGCGCAAAGACTAATCCGTTTATCGCATGATCATACTAATTACATGTCACAAGATTCTAAGTTCACGCAATATTTGCAATATAGCTTCAATGGTAACTGCAATTTGTCTCTTTAATTGTCAACGTTATTTCTTCCTTATACAATTTCGTGCGTATACAAAGCTGCCGGGTAAAAAATAGAAATCAGGAAGACCGCAAAAATGGTAACGTGCACGTGTGACGTTTACGAGCACTAGATGTTGCTGGAGAAGACGTTCCTTCCGGGATGACTGGTGCGGATATGCTGATATAAATTGCCACGTTGCTTCGTCCTGTGGGCGCAATATGGACACTTAAACTGCGGCTCCTTGCCGCATTCATGTCGCATGTGTCTCAGCAAGGTGCCGCGATGCTGATAACCCTTGCCGCACCTCTCGCAACGATACGGGAATATGATATTCCCGCCGCTCTGTTTGGCCATCCAGAATGTCAGATCCTTGATCGACATCATTGGCGAATAAAGCCGTTGCTGTAGATTCCTGGGCATAATCATGCGCGATATCGATGGGTCTGCAAGCGAGAGGAAGAAGAAAACGAGGAGCGTTAGTTACGGAAAAAGATGCTGTAATTGCATTTACGAAGCTTTAAGTAATAATAAGAATAGAAAGTGAAAAAGAGAGAAATGCACTCTCCGTTTTATTGTTCGTATAATATTATATTTCGAGTATACAAAATAAACAGTAAATGCGGTTAAAGTTGAGATGAATGGGCATAGGCATGGCAATGTTTATTATAAGTAATATTGCACTAAGATTTCTTAATTCTTAATTTAAAATAGCAATTTTTTAAATTTGGAATTTTATTAGAAATCTGCAACTCCATCACATGATGAAAAATTCAGCCTTCTTTTTTCGGGAATTTCTGAAAAATTAATTCTTTAAATCAGCTATTTTACCTTTCAATCGCAAATTTTATTAAAATTTTTGTTTAATTTCAATTACATCAAAATTAATTCAATTATTCAAAATACAAATATGTTACAGGAAAAAATTTTAAAAAAATTTATTAAACATCTTAAATAACTCACTTGTCTTGAATAAATTTAAATTTATAAATTTCCAATAGTAGAAGCATATTTTTATATATTCTTTAGATAAACTTAGATACTAAATTTTACTCGTTTTATTTTACAGAATCCACTACAAATTTTGTCACATTTTTATTAAGTTTGATTAATAAAACACAATTAATTAATTTTTCTCCATGATTATTTAATAAAAATAGATAACCATGAGTTTATATTCTATAAAAACATAGAAATAAAAAATTATCCAAACATTTATTTATATTAATCATTAATTAATTTTAATAAGATCAAAAGTATATAGTATGAAAATATATAAAGATAAAAAGATAAAAATATTGGACTACATTTTCTTTGTTTCTTTTGTTTTCTATTAAGTTTTCTGTGTGTGATTAAATTGTGGATTCATTGTAAATTTTATAAATCGTTTACGTTGATCATCACATAATATCATAACATCGTAATAATATAGGCACAATCTCTTTGGTTTACTTTTGTAGATGCGTTTCATACGAAGTCGGAGCTGCCAAAATTATCGAAATATTATGATATAATAATATATATAGTACTATTAAATATTAAACAATCCTATTGCTACAATCAAGTTGCTAATTCTATCAATTCTATCAATACTCTTATTTTCGCTAAAAAATGTAGCAATTTACATTGAATTTCAAATCGAGTATACATTAGACATAATAATGATCTAAAAATAGCAATAGCATAAAGCACCTAGATTGACAATCAATATTTTTAAAAAAGGAACAAGTGGTAACGATACGATAATTATTTTATTTAATTATAATTTATAATAGCTGGACAATATAAATAATATTTAAAAAATAATTTCATTTCGATTAAGTAAAAATATTATATTTTATTTATATCTATCAAGTTAACGAAATAAGATACAAAAGACAATATAGACAAATTTTATCCTTCTTCTATATCGTTCATCGTTTTTGTCTTATATTCAAGATTCTGATCATGATGACTAGATACATCAGCAATCGTGCTGTAGTATTAATTTTATTACGACAGATACAAACCTCCTATTCCTGAACTTAGATACGAGCAATGCTCGATACTTCTTTATTATGGTATGTACTCATCGGAAGGCACACGGATATCTACTCGGAATCAAACAACTCACAAAGATGTCTTTTCGATAGACACATTAAAAATAGATTAACAATATACACAAAATTCGTAGAAAAAAAATTAAAAAAGTCGCAATATTTCGAAATGATTACGCGAAATGGGCGAAATTGTTGTTCGATAAAAGTGAAAAGGACGAATCAGCGTCAGTATTGGAGATTAAAAAACACTATTGTTGATTCGCCATATTAGGATTCATCGATCTTTCCTCGTGAGTCCTCAATTAAGATCGATCACGTAGACGTTCTGACCCCGGTGGCACTGGCGGATGTGCCTATAAACGTGACCACGTTGTTTCATTTTGGCGGAACAATAAGGGCACTGGACTCTCGGTTCTTGTCCGCACTCGAACTTGGTGTGCCTTTTCAGGTGCCAAGCGTGTATATAGCTCTTTGAGCAACGCGAGCACGTATGCCTTTCGATATCGCCCTGCATGCGTCCACCCCGGCGCCTTCTCGTCGAGTTGAGCGGCTTCTCATCCTCGTAGTTAAAGTTCTGGGACTCCTCCAGCACCACCGAGCATATACTCTCCAGACTGGTCTCCAGCTTGAACATCTTCACGTCTAAAAAAAAAAATCAACAGGACGCGGAGTTAGTTGAGCGATTAAGATGCGTGTCCACCGAGCGTGAAGAAAGGGATAAGAATGAGAAGATCGTGGAGATGCTTGCGAGTGTTACCGCGTATTATTCCCGTCACCTGACCCTGAGGAGCTCAAGCTCACGCAAATATTCTCCGTTTATCTGCTCGGCTTGCGCGCCGGCCAAAGCACGGCGAGGTTCGTCCAAACTGATCCAACAAACTATACGAATACAGCGGCGTTTAATATATATAAAAGTAAGTGGAAATGAAAGAGCTATCACGAAAAACCAATAAAATATCGTGTAAATACTTTATTCTATCAAGTATACAATTAACAGAATGACAATCGCAACAAAATTCGTATGTACATTGCTTCATAATAGGAGTGTCGACAGGCCGAACATGTAAAAAAAAAAAAAAAAAAAGTAAAAAAAAAATAAAAAAAAACGAGAATCATGAACGAAGATTAAATTATCAATGTCAAAGGAGGAACATTTAGAGCGGGTGTACTGGATGAGGGCCTCATCAGGGTGATTCAATTATGTAGATGCGTTCGCCGGAGTGCTTCCTGCGTATGTGCTGGCTCACGTGGTTGCGTTGTTTGCTGCGGGTGCCGCAATAAGGGCACTTGAACCTCGGGGTCTGGCCGCACTCGTAGCGCAAATGCCGCCTAAGACTCTTGATCACGACGTAACCGTTGCCACATTTCGGGCACACATGATTACGTCGACCTCCTCGACCGCGTCCTCGTCGACGAATCGACGACCCTCTGATACTCTGGCTCACACCGGGCTTCGTTAAGTCATATAGGCCGATTCCATAATTTCCGTATAGAAGAACTGAAAGCAAACAACGGAACGGTTAGAGGGGGAAAAAAAATGGGACTGACGACCGCGGATCATCGTCGACGAACTATGGACAGACCGAGGAAAAACATTTTTTTAATCAATCGGACAAATAAGTGCAATGTCTGTTTTAGAAAAATGTTTTTAATGTGACGGTATTTAGTGTGTACCTGTGTGTGACGTGTACCTGTAACAAGATCCAATTAATCAAATGTGGGCTATATTGTAAGCTGTGCAAAAAATATCTCAAAATAGAAGCTCCATATTTTAATGATGATTTTCTTATTTTTTTTTAGAGTTAATTCCTGAGTAGTGAAATCTTTATACGAGTGAAAAAGTTATAATTCTTAACTTTTAATAATGTAACATGTTTTTCATTATTCTTCTGCATAATTAAAAAAAAAAGAAAAAAACAATATTTCATTGAAGCTTTTGTTATGATTTGATCTCACTTGCATATATATCATTAAAATATGTGTGTAATGTAATGATGATTTGTCCAAACAAGGTACAATAATATCATGTATGCAATATATAAATGAGATCATCCAGCTTGAATACAATATCATGGATTATCGACGTAGATTATCAACTCTTAGGACATCACGCAACGCATTTGACATTTATATATGATGTTCACAACGACACACCTAATCCAATACCTAAAGGAGATTCGAGATGGAGGGAATTTGGAGAAAATTCGATCTCACGTTAAATATTCCTACCTGATAATTGGTAGTAAATAAGGTGATACGTGCCCATAACGTGTCGGTAATCTGTTCCTGAAAGTGAAAACTCCGAACAGATAAGCACGCGTTAGCGATGAGCACAGAGATACGAGAGATAGCCACCAGAATTGTCAAGACGGGAAATAATACGGAGGTAACGTTTATTACGTTTGTAATCATAATGGTACACAAACATCGCTAAGCAGTGACTGTTCGTGGTCATGACAGTTGGATGTTCGTGTGATGTTCGCACGTTTCGTTAGGATTTAAGATCGACGACCCAGACTCTCTCATCGGGATGCTTTTTCCTGATGTGACTGTAAATCTGTGACGTCTGCTTGCTACGAAGCTCGCAGTAAGGACACTTGAACCTCGGCTCGTGACCGCATTCGTATCTGAAGTGGCGATTGCGATTGCTCTTCAGGGTGAAACCGTGCAGGCACTTAGGGCAGTAGTAGAGGGTCTTCTGAGACGTCCTGGGCGAAGAATGTTCCTCGGGACCTGCGAGGGTCATGAAGGAGTCCATCATGAGAAGATCTGAAATCAGAAACCGTACTGTGAGACTTGGTCCGGATCGCTACGTATTGCAGCTTTTTTCACATCGGGCGCATCGACAAGTTTATCATTTATTCACATAGTTAACGTCAAAACAAACAACAATCTCTTTTCGCTCCGAGAAACTAAAAGTTAGACAAATACTAGAAGGCGATCTGCACGACTGACAGGTCACAAAGATACTTGTCACTGGCCCTGGAGAAGAGTGGCTCGTTAGATATTAAGGTGCAAGGATCATTGACGCAAAGCACATAAATGCAGCTAAAAAGTTACGTGGATTTTACTGCTCAATGATATATTAGTCTGGTGGCACGCGAATGGAATCGGGAACGTTGGTGGAGAACTTAATCGGGAAATGTCAAGCACGTTTTTCACAGTCATGAAAGGGAGAGGCATCCGTCGTTAGTTTCGGCCGCAAAACACCACACACACCGTGTAGATCATCTACCGTGCATCTATGACAAATTCATCAGAGTGAGTTGTCCTGTGTGTCTCCGTCACATTTTCGGTTGAAGTAACAAAATTGGTGTCCGATCCGAGAGGGAGAGACCAAAGGGGCTGGGGGGGGGGAGAAAATACAGAAGCACATCCGGCAAGTAGGGTGTCCGAACATCAATTTATTTTTATCTTACATTTCCACAGCGACGATATACGATCATAAAACGTACCGCGAGAAATCGCTATTGATATACCGACGGTGAAAACATGTTGCGTTCTTAATTCGGCCAGGGACCGCCGGGGTATCCTGACGTACGATCGTACGAAGCTCGAGCGCAGGCTTTTAATGACCTGATGAAATTTTTACGTACGTCAAAATATCCCGAGTGGAGAGAGAGAGAGATCCCTCGCTCGCGAAAATTTGCTCGACATCCTAAAATGCGCAGAGAAATGAGAAATGTAATGCAATGTTTACCTTAACTCGAGAATCAAGTATCAACGGAATGAGAATTACGGAGAACGGATCGTTTCTAGCGAGCGACGACGGATTCGCACGTGTTTAACACGCGCCTCGCCGCGTACGTATTACTTACTTCGAAATACATTTATTATTTCGCTACACGAATAATTATATCACAGCAACAAAAACAGTCGGCCACTAAACGTGTCTCGTGTTTCTCTAAGAGATCCTTCCATCACGCAGATTTGCATACAAACGCGAACGAACGAAAGCAGGCACGTGCCGCGACAATCGAATCGCGAAAGAACCGAACGGTGTGACGAACTGGTGTTTCCGCGATTACATGAAGAGCAACACTCTCGAAAATCTACTCTCACGATGTTGACAGATGAAATATATATACTCTATGTTATCCATTTTTGCTATTGTACCGATGCGTCTTCATGTTAAGAAACGAAATCACGGTAACGCGTGACTCTATATCGTGATTAAACAGAAGGTAACTACGTTTGTTCCGACCGCTTGAAACCCTGTTCTCTCAGACTTTCTGCTCCCGTTAGTAACAATTCAGTCTTCGTCGACAAACGTTCATGATCGCTTGGCGCGTCAATCGCGCGTCAATAACAATTCCGATTCGTTAATTGTAAAATCAACAATTATTCGCTAATGATAATACATATACGCCGATCGCCTCCCGGCGCCTCAATTAGTCTGAACGATCCCGGTATATATTTAGACGCACGCAAAAATGTTTCCTCGTGTTCCTATCGTCAACCTCACAACCTGAATCTTTAAAACGTGTACATCTACGGCTTAAAAAACATACGACTCTCTTAAAGCCCCTAATAATCGAAAGATTGCTTATTGGATGGCGCGCGGATGCCGAGACCCGAAATGTGCTCGCGGCTAATCTCACTTTTTCCCGAGGGGGGGGCCTTCGCCGAGACCGAAACTGCGATAGCAGTTCCCGAACATTCTTCATAAACACCATCGTAATACACCACGTCGAGCACATCGAGAAGCTCGCTCCGCGCGCCGGCTCATTAACTGCTAAGCAATGGAAATATTTCGTAACGTGTAAAGACGGAGAGAATATCTGACGATAATACTGAGTCCCGCTGTTCCAGCCGCTACAAATCTCACACGGTTCGCCGTTTCACGCTTCGTTAACATTACCTCACGACGTAACGAACATGACACGATTATCGCGTTGCATCTCGTCGCATACGAGCGAGCGAATTAACGAACGTCGGCGCTTCTGTCCCTGATTGTTGTGTGCATCAATTATACCGATATCCGATTGATAAGCCGACGACCGCCGACCGACGAACCGCAGGAACCGCACCGCGCTCGTGAAAAACTCTTAAAAGCTAAGGACGTTCGAGAGAAACATTTTATGAGCGCGGAAAAAATACCAAAATCCAAAAGCCCGCGCGCGAGTGATAAGTGACGTTGCGCGTCTCTATTTTTTTTTTTTTTTTTTTCGAATATGAATATCGATTATCATTCCGTGTATTAACAACGCCCTCGCCCAATCCTCGAATACCGATTGTGCGAGTGACAATTCACGCGGGAAAACGTAATTATATATAAAACGATGCCTAATGGCAATTCAAAGAAAATGATCTGAACGAGTGCGAAAACTCGTTTTCGATTTCGCACGAGTGCGGTTCCCCGCTCGTTCCGAGTCGAGAAAATCATTGTCCCGTCGTTCCTTATTTGTCCTCGAGGTGCACTACGTCGATCCTCTGATCGGGATGCTTGGTCCTAATGTGAGATCTCACATTGGACGTCTGCTTGCTACGGAACTCGCAATAGGGGCACTGGAAGCGCGGTATTTGGCCGCACTCGTACTTGTAGTGCCTGGTCATGTTGCCCTTGACAGTGAAGTAGCGATCGCACTTGGGACAACCCCAGGGCTTGTTCTCGGTAACTGTGCCCTTTGGGCAGGCACTTC